CTCGCCGCCGGCCGGGCGTGTTTACCGGGCCCGGCCGCCGCCCGATATCGCCGTGCTGATTGGCCGACAGCCGTGACCGGGCTGACCTCTCCGGCGATACCTGCCCGGGCCGAGAGTGACTGGGCGGCGCCGCCCGCTCCGGCGGAGAAGCGGCCGAGGTGGCAGGTGGTCGCCGCGACGCCGGCCGGCGGCGGTCTCCTGGGTGCGGGTTATGCGATGAACGACAGGCGTGCGATGAACGACAGGTTATGCGATGAACGACATACAACAGGCGTTACGCAAGACGGCTGCCCGAGCCTGCTGCGCGCGACGCGCCTGGAGCGGGCGGGGGTGTGACAGCCGGGGTCCACCAGGCTGCCGGACATCGGCGGCGACTGCGCCACCGCCGCCGCCGCTCCTGCTCCTTCCGCTATTGCCCGCAGCAGACGAGCCCTGGAGGGCGGTGGGCGTCCCCGTTGGACGGAGCGCACCGCGCCCGGCAGGAAAGTGTGGCACGCTGACCGCTCCGCTGCGAGTTTTGCGCGTCGCTCGCCGGCTCGCTCCGACGGCGCCTCATGTCTTCGGCATCGGGGCGCGACTGGCGGTCGCCGACGGTCCGTTCGCGCCGGCGGCCGCGGGCCGACCGTGGCCGGCGTGCATCGGCCTCCCAGCGAGCCGCCTGTCGACACCGCGCCCCGGACCGGCGGCCTTCAGCCGGTCGGCCAGCGACGCACCGCCGTCGGGTCGGCGCTTCAATCTCGTCGCTGCTGATTGGTGCCTGACCCACATCGCCAAACGTGTTGTAGGCGGGCGTCGGCCACCAAACGCGCCGTGGCACGCGATCGATCTCGTCGTCGCCGTAATGGCCTGTCCAATTTCGAGCCTGTTGGGCGGCGGCATTCCGCTGTTTTGATTTCCGGCTTCGGCGCCGCGCTGGCGGTGCTAAATCAGCTCGCGGGCGGCCGGCGGCTGGCGCGGGGTCCGGCCAGTGCTGTGTGTGTTTTCAGCCGGGATTTTGACTTCAAGAAATGTGTCCCTGTCCTGTCCTGTCCTGTCCTATTCTGTTCTGTTCTGTTCTTTTCTGTCCTGTCCTGTCCTGTCCTGTCCTGTTCTGTTCTGTTCTGTCCTGTCCTGTCCTGTCCTGTCCTGTTCTGTTCTGTTTTGTCCTGTCCTGTCTTGTCCTGTCCTGTCCTGTCCTGTCCTGTCCTGTCCTGTCCTGTCCTGTCCTGTCCTGTCCTGTCCTGTCCTGTCCTGTCCTGTCCTGTCCCCGTCCGTGAGCAGGCCTGCAGTGCCGTGCGGCTGGCGGTGATTGCAAGCCGTGCTTCAGAGCGGACCGCTGGCCGTGATTGGGCCGGCAGACACGGCCGCGGCTCGGTGCGGCGGTGCGCCGCCGGCCGCTGCCCCGGTCCCTGCGGCATCGCCGGGCCGCTGCGGCTCGCCGGCGCACCGCCGCGCTGCCGCTCAGCCACACACACACCCGTCACGCGGCGCTCTGTCGCAATGCCGGGCCCGAGCGGCCGGCGCCGCCCGCTCCCGACTGACTCGCCTTCCGTCTCGGCGCCGAGGAGAGCGGCGCCGACCTCATCCGAACCGCCGGCCGCCGGCGCCGTCGGCCGATCACCCGGGGCGTTTTTGTGCGGGTGCCGTTCCCATGCTGCGGCGTTTTTGGGCGGCCGACCGACACGGTCACGCGGCCGCGGGCGCACGGCCGGTCGCAAACAAACGGTCGGCGCGCCGACACGTCAAGTTGGTCCGCCGGCTCCCGCTCTGTCAACTTCACGGACGGCCCGAGCGGTGTTGGGGCGGCGGTCCGGCGCCGCTGCCGCCGCCGATAGCATAAGCCGGGCCGTGTTTGTTGATAGCGCGACGCGCCGCGGTCCGACGCGAGGCGAGGCGAAGCGGCGGTAATTCCCAGGTCAGGGGGCACGGGGGAGGGTCTGTGCACCGGGGGAGGTCTTCCGGTGCTGCACGGAGCCAAGAGGGAAGTCGGTTAGTAGCGGGCGGACCTGATTGAACATTCAGGGCGCGTCGTCGCCGTCAAGGTCGTGGCTCTTGCAACAGAGCAGCCGCGCGGCAAATCTCCTGTTCCGCACGGCGCCTTGATCAAGCCGAGACACGCGAGCTTCTCATGCTGACGGCCGCGCCGCTCCAGCCGTCCAGCGGCCGCGTGAGCTGCAGCGGCTGAGGCGCCGGCCCGGCCCAGCGCGCCAGCTCGGGCGCGGTGCCCGCCCCCCGCTCGCCCCCCGCCCCCCGCCGCCGCCGTCGGAGCGAGTCGCGGCGCACCGGCCTGCGTGTTTGTGCTGGCCGCCGCGCGGGGTCGGCCGTGACGGACTGCCTGCGGCCGGCCGGCCGGCGGCGCTCGTGCCCCAGATTGGCCGCGTCGCCGTCGGCCCTGCAAGCTTCCGCATCCGGTCAGACGGCGGCCGTCCTTGCACGCCCCCCGGCGCAGGAGGACGGCTGTCCTCGGAGGAGGCGGCCGGCAGTGCTCGGCGCTCGGAGGATGATGCACGGTTTGAGCTGAGCTGAGCCTGGCGACCCGCCGTCCGGGGCGATCTTCGACCGTGGACCAGTGTGCGCTCGTAATCGGCGAGCCTGTCGCGACTGCGGTGGACGGGGTTCCAAAGTCCGCGCGCGCGGGTCCGCCGTCCGGTATGTCACGTGCAGCCCGCATCCGCCGGGGCTGGACCGGCGCCACTGCTGGCGCGGTGCGCACCCCAGTTCTGGACTCCAGGCCATTGTGGCTGCTACGTCTGGCCGATGATCAGAGCGTCTGTCTGCGTGCTGCCCCTCGATCTGCATCCTCGCCTGTGGCCTCGCCTCAGGTGCGGTATCCGGCCTTCGTTCCCCAGTGTCTCATATGCAGTCTGTGATCTCCCGTCTCTCGCGTGTCTCCGTCCTGTGAGCTCTGATCCCCGGTCTCCGGGCCCCTGTTCGCGGTCGCTGGTCCTCCGTCTGCTCTCCAGTCTATCCGGTACCCGGTCGCCTATCCCTTGTCCCCGGTCCGCTCCGTCCTCCGGCCGCGTCGCGTCTCTCCTGTTCGGCGTGCGCTCGTGCCGCACCGTTCCCGGCCAGCGGCGGCGACGCCGGTTTTTGTCACCGGCTGGCCGACAGTGTTTGCTCGAGGTGAGGGCCACCGTGCGCTCTCAAGCGCGCCCCCGTCACGGCTCGGACGCGCCGGTCGGCCGCGCCGCCTCGACCGGCGCCGATTAACGCCGGCCGTGATCGAGTGGCGACACTTAGGTCTTATTGGGGATGGAATATGCGCCGGATTGGGCGCGCGATTCACGCGATGCGTCCGCTCGGCGGTAGTTAGCCCGGAGATGGGCGCTGCGGTCGGGGGCGATTTTTACATAATCGGGATGTAGCCTCGCATTCGGGCTTATGACCCGAATAATGGAAATTTGGACAGATCGGTCGCACCAAACCTGTCATCGCGTCAACAGCGCGTCGGCCTTGTTCGAACGGCGAAGGAAGCACACCGGACACGAGCGGGTTGCCGGCGCGCCTGGGGGCCGCCTTCCCAGAGCGTCACCGGTGGCGGTGCTCGAGCGGCGCGGGCCGGGTGGCGCCGCTGACAGTCGCTCGCTCACACGGGCCGGGTTGTCGCCGCCAAAGGAGCCCGTCCGCGCTCGTCAGCCGGATTCGCCGCGGACCCGGTCTTTATCGCGATCGGCACGGGCCATTGAGGCCGGCCGGCCTGAATCCATCAATGAGAATGAAGCGGTCGGCGGGCGGCGTTCATGTGGCCGCATCGTTCAGCAGCTTCGGCTGCAGCGAGGGGACGGGGAGGGGGAGGGCGGGGGGCGTCGGCCCGCGAGAGTCACGTGGCTGGGAGGCTGCGCCACCGTAGGCCACCGGGGCCGGGCTCTCGAGCTGTGGTCTGTCGTATCATCGGGCGTCGCGAGCAGTCCTGTACTGAAAGTCCGTTCGGTGCGATACGGAGTGTCTGTGGCGAGCGCGGCGGTCCGATACCGACTCGTGATCCACTTGACGGCCTGGCGTCCGTCCAAGCCACTCGTCCGCCGCCGAGCGTCGCCCGAGGCGCCGTGGCCGAATCACGTGGGCGCCTGGACCGGGTGGCGGCCGCTCACCAGGGCTCTGGAGGGGGTCCAGCTGCTCCATTTGGCCTCATCGTTCTGCTGTCAGGCTGGTCTGCTGATGTGAGACAGACTTGACCGGGCTCTGTCGGGTGTGTGACACGCGCCTCTCACGGTAGGTAGGAATGGGAAGGTCACGTCTTGGTGTCATGATGCGTCAAGCACGTTGGATCATGTATCGTGGCATTCTTTTACGTTGGTCGCCGCTGGAGGCGACGGGATGCGAGGCTGGCGGCCTGGCTCGAATCCGCAACCTTCCGCACACGTTCGTGTGTGAATGAACGCTCTACCACCAGCGCCTCATCGCCCTCCACTCCTCCGCTCATGCACGGGCTGAGCGGCATGTCGGCAGCGTTCAGCGGCAGTGGTTTGTTGCAGTCGATAACTGCTCGCGGGCGGGCTGGCGCCGACTCGGGTCGCGCATCAGAGCCGCCCCGCCGTGGCCTGCTGTTACGCCGTCCAGCGGTGCATGCCCGCGCTATGGTTCGGCTGCCAGTCACCGCCGGTAATCAGCGGCGCCGCGATGTGCGAACGCCGCCACCGCCCGGCTGCAGGACGCCGGTGGGGCGCGGAGCGGCCTCCGTCCCGTTACGGCGCGCCGTCCGAGCGAGCCGGCCGGGCCACCGGGTCGTGGGAGGCGGCCACGCTCGCCGGCGCGCCCCGGCGCGCCGCGCGCCGTGCGCCGCCAAGCCGCGCCGCGCCGCGCCGCCGTTAGCCACATCTAATGAAGAGGTGACGCCGCCGCTGCACGGCCGGCGCCACCGCGCGGCCGGCGGCGCACGGCGGCGGCGCACAGTGCGCGCCGGGGCGGTGGCCGTGATAACGTCATAACTCGTGACCCGCCTCCGCGCGGTGACGTCGCGACCGCAGCGACGTCACGAGTCGTGACCGGGCGCCGGTGACCGCTATGGGGCTCTGTTGCAGGCGGACGCGTCGCTGGAGATGGAGCAGCGCTTCTTCGTGCAGGCCAGCCTCGACTACGTCTGCATGCTTCAGGAGGTGCAGGAGCGGAAGAAGTTTGAGTTCGTGGAGACGGTGAGCACACTGGTGGGACGCGGGTGTGGCGCTCGGGGCTGACGACAGATTGGCACGCCGCCGCGTAACGAGACTGACGTCCGGCTGCGTCGGCGGTTCGCCGCCGGCCCTTCCTGTAGCGGTGCTGCTAGCCTTACGTAAATGTGACTGGGCGACCCCGAGCCTGACCTCGGGCCTGACCCGGTGACCCACGGTCGGCCGGCAGACGGCGCCGAAGCCTGCCCACGTCCGGTATCGGCCAGGCCGATGCCGGCCGCCTCCGCCGTCGGTCAGCGGACCCGAGCCAGCCCGGTCAATATTGATGCCGAGTCCGATAGTTGTGACCGGAGTCGTGCGACTGCAGCGTCATGATGATCCGGCCGCTTTCGTGCGCACAGTCAAACACCGCGCGCACGCTGACACGCACGCAGACGTCGCACGATGGCGAACGAGACCTGGCGCGCGCGGTGAGGGCTCGCCGCGTCGCGCGGACCTGAACGCGGGTAATGCGTGCCGCCCGGCCGGCGGCGGCGGCTAATCCGGCGCGCGGAGATACAATCGGACTGGGCCAGGCGGCGCACTTCCGCGCCGGCCGGGTCCATTGTGCCGGCCAGCGGCACGCTGTCCGGTTCCGGCGGTGCCGGTGGTGCGCGCGCATGGCCGTATGCGCGTGACCGGCGCGGAGGTCACTGCACCGGGCCGCCGTCGTCGGCCGCAGCCGGTCCGTCGGGCCGGGTCCGGCCGGGCGGGGTCTGGACGCGGCCGCCGGCGGTGCCGCACCGCTGGCGGCCGCTCGGGTCCCGGCGAGCGAGCGCGGCTGGCGGCTGTCGAGGCGGCGCCGTGGCCGGCGATGTCAGATTGACACGTTGTTGACGTGTGATTGGCCGTGACAGCCGGCCCGCGCGCTGAGCGCGTGACGCAACGGCCGGCCGGCCGCGAGATGGCCGCGTCGGAACCCGGCCAGTGGGGCGTGTCGGACGCGTGCCCTGACCCGTTCACCGGTGCGCGTGTCAACGAGAGGTGTCAGCCATGAGCGACGGCCATACGTGAGGTGGCTAATGACCACCAATCAGCCATGGCTCGTCACCATTAATCGCCTCACCAAGATGACTGATACTCGCCACACATAACCGGTTCATGACCTACATTCGCTCGATGCAGCGCGGTCTGGGACGCCTCCGGCTGTTGTGTCGCGGCGCCGCGTCACGTAACGCGTTCGCCAGCACCCCCCATTACACGCCGCTGCCCATCAGCATCTGTTACCGCCGGCCACCACATGGTGCTTTCCATCGTACCGCGCGACTGGCGGGCAATGAGCGCCGCCCGTCATGACCTGTCACTTACTGTCCATGCTCGGCCACTACCTGTCACCTCGCGTCACCGCGTGTTTTGACCTGCCGTCACTTGTCACCGCTGGTGTTGACCCATCACTGATCGTGTCTGCCCGTCACCGGCCGTCGTCGCCCATCACTTCCTGGTGCTGGCCGTCGCTGTCAGCCTCTCCTCGTCACAGCTTGTCGGCGCGGCCCCGCTTGACCCGGTGGCGCGCGTGCTAGCCGGCAGGCCGGCCGCCAACCTAACGGCGCCGCCGCCTCCGTTGCAGCTGCTTCGGGTGCATGTACGGCTGGCTCACGTTCTACCACCAGGGACACGAGGTGGCCAACGACTACAAGGGCCAGATGACCGACCTACAGATGCGATTGCAGAAGGTAGGTGGCTGTCGCCGCTGCGGGCGTGGGCGGTGGGGACGGGGCCGGGACCGGGACCGGGATGCTCGGCTGGCGCACGCTGGCGGGCCCGGCGCGCGGCCCGCCGCCCCGCTGATGGCGGGGAGGGGCCGGCTCGCCCAGGTGATCACGGCGCGCCGCGGCGCCGGCTCGTCGGCCGCGCTCCGCTGGCGCCGGCGCTCTGTGCAGGTCCTGCGTGCTGTACGCGCCGGAGGTCCGCCATCGCCGTTACCGCTCCCGCTCTCATCCCACTCAGCGCTGTCGAACTGCTCTGTGCTGTTTACTACGTGTGTCTACTACTATTTATGTCCGCCCTCCCGCTAGTCTGCCGCCCCCCCCCCCCCCGCTCCGCCCCCCTGCCCCCCCATCCCCCCCCGCCTCTGACCCTCTGGCGGCCCGCTGACGCCGCGCCCCTCTGACCGGCAGACTCGTGAGGAGTTCGAGGCCACTCGCAGCGAGGTGGAGGCGCTGAAGGAAACAAGATGATGGTGGACGTGCGGCAAACGGTACGGCTTGCCCGGGATCAGGCACCGGCCGGGGCCGCTGCGCCCGTGGCCCGGGTCGGCCGCCGCGCTCGCGGCCCCGGGTCGGCCGCCTCGCCCGTTCGGGCCCGGGACGGTCGCCGCGCCCGTTCTGGCCCGGGTCGGTCGCTGCGCCTACTCGGGCCCTGCAGAACTGTGACTGATCGGCTGGCAGTCTGCCAGCGCCGCTGCCACTCGCTGACGGAGCAGAAAAACACAGGCTCAGTTACCCGCAAAAACTGGACACAGCCGGGAATGTCTGTTTTGCAGCTGACCGTACCGGTGCCGTCCGGCCGTCCGTATTCGGCAGCGCTCGACGCCTATTTCCCGTCTGCTCCTTTGGCTTGATAACGACCCCGCTCGTTTTCCCGGTCAGCTCTGAGACGGCCTCCAGCCGCGAGTTTCGCTCATGGTGGTAGCGGCAATGGCCGTGACATTATCACAGCGGCGGCGTGTATTGTGCGGGCCCGAGTCGGCCGAGTCGTCGCCGCGCTCCAGCAGACGAACAAATCACCCGTGCTCGAGGCGGCTGTGTTGTTCGGTGGCGGTGCGTGCGCGGCCGGATATCGGTAGTTGTGTGTTGTCGACCTGTGATTTACCCGGTCCGTGTTCCGCGCTGCAGAAGTCGCAGGACGCCGGCACGAGACAAGGCTATCTGTACCTGATGGAGAAGAGTGAGTAGCGGCGGCCTGGTGACGGCGGTAGCGGGGGGGGGGGGGGGGCAGGAACGTTTGGCTGTACGCGCCGCTCGGTTCGAGACGGGTGGCGAGCCTGTCCAGCTAGGATATGGTTCTGATGATAAAGAGGATGTGGGCTCGAGGCACTCTCAGCAATAGGCTGTCCTAATTGTCATGCGGATACATGGACGAACCGCGTCTATATGTGACCCATTTCAAAATGCTATTCTGTGTCTTGTGCTCGCGTGATGCCAGGCGAGCAGTGATACCAGGCGAGCCCCCGGCGTGTGCCGCGCTGATCTGCGTGTTGCCTCGCGTCGCCGTACGGAGCCCCGCTGTCTGCGTCGGCACGCGCTCACCTCCCCGTCTCTCCGCTTCAGAGGCGTTCGGCACCACGTGGACCAAACACTACTGCATGTACGATAAGAAGACCAAGAACCTGTCGCTGATCCCCTACAACCAGCTGACGGGCAAGCTGGTGAGTTTGCGGCCCGGGCCGCGCCCCCCCCCCCCCCCCCCCCGTCGGCCAAGGCTGCCCGCCACCTCAGGCCGTTTTCGCCGCCACCGCGCCGCCGCGCTGCCGCGGGCGACGCCGGGACATGCGGGTTAATTAGACGGTCGGTTTTTGCGGCGTTTGTTGTGGTGCTGCGCTGCGTGATTGTTTTCTCTTCGGCCGTGTCGCCGTCGCTGTTGGTGAGCCACCGTTTGTCACGGGGGCCGCGCGGGACGCGTGACGCCGCGACCTCCTTCACGGGCTCGTGTCACGTGACGGCCGCGGCGTGCGGTGACGTCACTCGGACTGCCGGCCAGGACGGCACCCGGCCCGTGCTGTAGGTCACCCGGCTCGTGCTTTAGGTCATCCGGCTAGTGCTGTAGGTCTCCGTTGTCCAGAAATGTACCGTGCCGCGCGGAAAGCTAGACACTATTATTATATTCTGTTATGCGCAATTTCGATGTTTTGTTTCTTCTGGTTTACCGGAGAATTGCTTTTCCGAAATCGTTTCGTTGTCTGTCCCCATTGATAGCGCACTTGGGTTTAAGGTGCGCCTCTAGGTAGCCAGAGGTACCATGTTGTGTAAGAAACCAGAGGTACCAGGTTGTCTAGGAAACCAGACGGTACCAGGCTGTTTAGGAGAGTGAAGTTATCAGATTGTCTAGGGAACCAGTGGTACCGGGTTCAGTTCCCCGCGGTGGCCCGCCCCCCCCCCCCCCTGCCAGGGTGAGAGGCGGCGACGCATTTAGCGTCTGCAGCTGAGTGCGTCGTAAAGCCCCAATCGTGCCTCGATTGGGCGCACTTGGTCCTCATACACACACATTCACATCATCACGGAGAAGCCACTGGGACCTTGGCGAGCCGACTATATCACTTTACCTAACAAGTGCAGCGATATGCCATTTCATAATGGGATTAAGTAATAAAAACAGTGGAACTGGTTTACTCCAGCTTGACGTTAGTGGCGACAAAATCAGCGTCCGGATAATTGGCGCCCTCCGCAGACACCCTCGTGTGCATGTTCCGCGACGTTCATGGCGCCGCCCACCGTGGGGAATCACGACAAGGCCTTTAGGAATTTTCGCCAATCTGTGTTCGACCCCGACACTGTCCCGCAAATTGAACTTTCGCCGCTCGGCGAAGCGAACGAATTCCAGCGCACAGGTCGGTGTGGCGCCCAAGGCCGCGCAGCCTGCCCGTAAAGGGTTTCCTGACGAAGCTCGCCATTGTGTGTAGAGCACGGCTGCCTGCCGCCGCACCGTCCGTGCCTTTGCGGCGGGTCTTGGCTCACGGTGACGCTGCATGTGACACTGCTGCGGAGGTTGGCGAGCCACACTTGGCCGCAGCTCCCGGTAAAGGGCTGGACGCACTGAATCGGTCTGAAGTCCATGTTATTCCTGCACGCTATCCGTGCTGTAGCCGTGTCTCCATGGGCGCCGACTCTATTTTGAAGCCCGGTGGACCGATGGGTTTTTCCATGTTGTTCCTGGTCAGTGCGGTCCGTGTCGCTCATGTTCCAAAGTGCGGCTTGACTGACGGGCCGGCGTGTCATAGGCACTGTCATATAAAAAAGCCTGAGACGCCGCCGTTTCATGTAGATCGACTGACCGGTGCCGGTGTTGAGTCGCTGCTGCCGCCGTCTGACGCCGTCCGTGCGGCCCCTGTCGCAGAGCTCGACGGACCAGATGGTGGTCAAGTCATGCGTGCGCCGAATGTCGGAGACGATCGACCGCCGCTTCTGCTTCGACGTGACGGCCGAGGAGCGCGACGGCCAGGTGTACACGCTTCAGGCACTCTCCGAGCACGACCGCCGACTCTGGCTGGACGCCATGGACGGCAAGGAGCCGGTGAGCGCGCGCGCGCGCAGAGGACAGGCGGGGCGCGCCGGCACCGCTGGCCGGAGGCGGCGCGGCGCGGCGCACCGACGGCCCGCTGTCAGAGTGTGGCGGTGCTGGACAGTGCGGCTGCTCGTCGGTCTCTGCCGACCTGGCCAGCGCTGTGAGCCGCTGGCGGCATTAGCAGACAGCTGCGGCGTCTCCATACGCTTCCTCGAATGCTCCTGCGCTGCTTGTTTGCTTTCTCATGTAACCCTTGTGGACGCCCGGTGCCAGCGGCGTCTCGCCTACTGCGCGACCTGCGCAGAGTGCTTCGCCACCTCTGAGACCTGGCCTGGGATGTGGTTGCAGACCTACTCCAATTACGGCATCGACCAGCGGACGGAGGAGACGGCGCTGGAGGACAGCGGCTTCCACTTCATCACCACCTGCATCGCCCAGCTCGAGGGCCGCGGCCTCGAGGAGCAGGGGCTGTACCGAGTGGTCGGAGTCAACTCCAAGGTCAGCACAACTCTGGGCGGGCACAGGAGGAACGCGCCGCGTTGATTCGCGGGAAGTCCAGACTTGCTTCGTTCTCCTTTGCTCTGGTTGAGTTTTGCGTTCGTAGCGGAGGCTCGGCGATCCAGTGCACGCCAATGACAGCTGCTGTCCCTGAGCTCACCGTGGGCCCGGCGAAACCCGGTCACGGTGGCCAGGCGGGAGCGAGCTGCTGTCCCTGAGCTCACCGTGAGCCCGGCGAAACCCGGTCACGTGGTGGCCAGGCGGGAGCGAGCGCGACTCCCACCACCTGTTCGTCGCGGCACTGGTGTCGTGCCGGCGCCAGACCGGCCGTGCCCGGTCCGGCACCGTGCTGTCCGCGTCCCCAGCCGCCGTCTGACGGCCGTCCGCACGGCAGGTCACCAAGCTGGTGCAGCTGGGCCTGAGCCGGCACAAGCTGGACAAGCTGCCGCTGGACAACGTCGTCGAGTGGGAGACCAAGACGCTGACGAGCGCCATCAAGACCTTCCTCCGCAGCCTGCCGGAGCCGCTCATGACGTTCCGCCTGCACCACGAGTTCATCAACGCCGCCAGTGAGCGACGGCGCCGAGTCCGGCACGGGGCCAGATGGGAGGGAGGGGAGGGGGCGGACGGTGGACCGGGGACGGTGGAGAAGCCTGAGCCGAACTTGGCTTTCTGTGGTCGGGAGGGAGCCTTGTTGGGGCTTCGGAAGGGTCTCAGTGAGTTAGCTGGTCAACGGATGGGTGGTGGCTAAGCCGTCTGCACTGTGCAGACGGCAGGGAAGTCACGACGCCGCAGTCCGACGGGTCCGTGTCGCCGGACGATCTCCCGCCGCCGCCGCCGCCACCGCCGCGGGACGGAGCGCTCACGCTCCACGGCTGTGCGTCATCCACACCAGGCTCGTGCGCGACGGCATACAACGCAGCGAGACGTCTGGGGCTTTTAGAAAGACTTAATGTTAGCGGCGCGCTGTACGTATGTGGAAACATATGCATTTGGCCACACCCCGTACCGCTTTACAGAAACGGACAACAAGGAGGTGCGCGTGGCTGAGATACACAAGCTGGTGCGCAAGCTGCCCAAGGTCAACTACCGCATGCTGAAGATACTGATGCAGCATGCGCAAAAGTCAGTACGGCATCGCGCGATGGAGGCTGCGCATGTCCACGTGCGGTCTTGTTAGTGGGAGCGTTCCATAGTCACGGGCCGGTGGTGTGGGCTGAACGTGCGTCGGTGAGGCCGCTGATTGGCGATGACAAACGTCCGACTCTGTGATAAGGCACATGCTGTGTGTCACCGCGTGTTTTGTGTGCCTGTGATTTGTTGAAGGCGACTTGTTTGTAAGAATGTGTGCGGGCCGACTGGGGTTGGAACGACTCGTCCCTGATTTAACGCGGTCGGACCTGACCTGACCTGACCTGGTCCGGTCTGATGTGATGGTAACCAGTTCTAGCTGACCCGATCTGACCATGGTAGACCGTCCCACATTGACACAAGTTGGCCTGCGTGGCCTGGTGTGACCTGTGACGATGTGACATGACTGGCTGACGCAGATTTAACCCGACCCAACCCGACCTGGCGTGGCCTAATTAAACTCGACGTAGCGCGCCTCCACGTGACCTGACCTGGCGTACCGCGCCGTGCCGCCAGCGTGAGTCGGAAGAGCGATAAGAACCTGATGTCGGTCAGCAACCTGGGTGTCTGCTTCGGGCCGACCCTGCTCCGGCCCGAGGAGGAGACCATGGCTGCCATCATCGACATCAAGTTCTGCAACGCCGTTGTTGAGATCCTCATCGGGCACTTCGACACGGTGCGTGACTGAGCCGGCCCGGGCTGCCGCCGCCGCCGAGCGCCCGCCCGGTGCCGGGCCGTCTCGCGCCGAGGCGGCGTCCTGGAAAGTGACAGAGGGTCGGACCGGGACGTCGTTAGCGCCGGACACTTCGTTATCGCCGGAGACGGGCCACGGGGCTTGTTTGGGAGCCGGGTCCCGTGTGGGAGAGCCGGTCGTGGCCCAGTGATCCTGCTGAGTAGCCTCGTCGTCGGCGCTGCTGTCGCGCCGGGCGCAGAACATACGCGTCATTGATACTGGATCCGTCTTCGCAAGCGCGCTCGCTGATGGGATGGCGACGCTTCTTTGTCCGGTATGTAGCGCCTGCCGGGATATGTTTGTTATGTCATGTGACGTCGCAGGCCCGGGCCGGTCGCCATGGCGGAGGGCGGGCGGCCACCTTCCGGAGCGTGCCCTGCCCGGGCGGTGTGTTGAGCGCGTCTGTCGTCCCTGCGACAGATATTTTCGGGCGGACCGGTGGCCAGCACGGGCGATTCCAACGGACAGCTGCACTACAGCAACGGCCCCGTGTCTGCCGGCCCGCCGCCGGCCAAGCCCGGCATCATATCGGCCATGGCGCAGGTGAGCGGGCCGACCGGGCGACCGATGGGAGCAACGGTTGGCATGGGCGGTCCGGGCGGTTGAGGGAGGAACGGTTGGCAGGGGGCGGTCCGGGCGGTTGAGGGAGGAGCGGTTGGTAGGGGCGATCCGGGGCGGTTGAGGGGAGGAACTGAGAAAGGATGTGGTAGGACGTGGTGTATAGGCAAGGATGAGACCCGAAACAGGGGTACAGACATGGTTGACATCAGCCCGCCAGTACGTGACCCTGGAGCGGATGTGGCCCGGCGCGCGGTGCGCCGCCGATCAGCGTGCGCCTCCGTGCCGCGCGATGCCCGGCTGGCGGCGCCGCTCGGCCGCGCCCCCTGGCCGCCTCCGCTGACGCCAGCCCGCCCGCTCCGCAGCCGGTCCAGGTGACGGCGTACGAGGCGGAGCAGCCGGCGCGGTCCGCGCGGCTGCCGGCCGGCGTGGCGCGCCGCCACTACCCGCCGCCGTACGCGCACCCACCGCCGCCCGTGTACGTGCCGGCCGGCGGCCAGCACCCGTCCGCCGCCGGGGGGCGCCGCCGTGGCGCCGCTGGCGGCGGCCGCCGCGGCCGCCTCCGAGCCGCCGCTGCGACAGAAGCCGCTGCACATCTTTAACCCGTCCGGTGAGGGGCCGCGCGGAGCACCGCGCGCGCGTCTGTCTGTCCGTGTCCGGGCTGTGGCGGCGCGCGTCGGCGGCAGTCTGATGCGGCGGTGCCGTGGTGTCTGCGATAGGGCCGTATGCGCCTCTCCGCGGAGGCTGCCGAGGGCTGACGTGAGCCGCTCGGGCTCGTAGGCGCTGGTTGGCGTTGTCCTGGGATGGTGTTGTCATCGTGTGGTCTGCCAGTCGCCGAGGGAGTCGTTTGCTGCCGGTTGTCGCCGTCGTTTTCGAGCTTCATGCCTTGATGCCAGTTGTTGGGCTTACTGTTTTGCGACGCAGTCGTGGTCGGTGTCAGTCACTGTCGTGTCGTCGGCGGCTGTGGCTCTGGTCCGACTGTCAGGCGAGGCTTGGCTTGGCTCGCTTCCGTGCGTGCTTGTCGAAGTGCCCGCGTCCGCTCCTGCAGTCCTCAACGAGCGCGAACGCTTGGAGGGTGGCAGCCTGACCAACAACAGCATGAGCAGTAGCAACGAGTCGCTGTCCTCGCGGTCCTCTCGGGACCTCCACCAGACGACGAACTCGTCCAGCTCGTCACCGTACACGCGTGAGTAGTCCGGCGTCCTGCTCGCACCCAGCTCGCCAGCGGGCACCCCACCTCCCGGGCGGGCCGGGGCGCCACTGTCGCGGCTGGGTGCCGCGCCAACAAGGTGACATTCGTGGGCCGTTGACGTGTTGCTGGGCTGCACAGGACCCGCTCGTGGTAGGAGTTTCGGCACGTGGCACCTGCCCGCGGCGCGAATGGTTGTGGCACAGGCTGCCGCGTGCGGTGAGCGTCCTGCGTTTGTCAGTGTCCCGCGGCTGATCGCTGGTGTCTGCCGTTTCATCGGTCCCGCTTCGCCTCGCCTGCCCGCCATCGTGTGATCTGTGGGGACCGCTGCGCTGGTTTGTCGCCGGCGCGCCGAGCCGTGCGCGCCGGACGGTCAGTGTCGTGTGCGTGTTGCCGCCGCGGATCGCCTGCGTTGCTCCGGCGTGACCGTTTGTCGTGGGGTTCCACAGGCGGCAAGCTGGGGATCCTGTACCCGCCCAGTTATCGCTCGCAGCCGGACCTGTGAGTACGGCCGTCGGCCGCCAGAGGCGCGCGCGTCGCTCGCGCTCACTCAGCGGGGCTTGAAGGGGACGGTGCCGCTCCCGCTGCCGCATCGAGCCTCCCCTCCGCCCCAGCCTCCCCTCCGCCCCAGCCCTCTCCCCTCCCCGTCCGCCTCCGGCCCTTCCCTCCGCCTGCAGCCTCCCCTCCGCCTCCAGCCTCCCCTCCGCCCCCAGCCTCCCCTCCGCCCCCAACCCCCCCCCCCCCCCCCCTCCCCCCCCCCGCCTCCAGCCTCCCTCCTCCCTTCCGCCTCCAGCCTCCCTTCCACCTCCAACCTCCCCTCCTCCTCCACCCTCCTCTCCTCTTCCAACTTCCCCCCTCCGCGTCAAGCCTCCCCTTTGCCTCCAACCCCCCCCCCCCCGCCTGCAGCCTCCCCTTCGCCCCAGCCCCACTCCCTTCCGCCTCCGGCCTCTCCTCCGCCTCCAGCCTCTACTGTAGTGGTCGGCTTGGGTGGGAGGCGCTTGTGACGCTGCTTCCGCCGGCGCCGCTCGGTCGCTGCATGCTGGCGCACGTTGCCGGGCGCTCAGTAAGACATCCGACACCCGGGCTGTGACGTCACGGCACGCGTCACGCGGCGGCCGGCTCCCGAGTAGGTCGTGCTGCGCGGACACGCTCGGCAGCTGGATTATGCTCTTCTTCGGTATACGGCTGGGGCATATGCTCTTCTGCAGAACACGGCTGGGGCATGCGTCACGATTTATTACGGGCGTCTTCTCTCGCACTGATCTGCTGTTAGTGATATTTACTTTCATGCTTTCAGCCGCGTGCAGGCATGGAATGGCTTGATCATTGAAAACAAGTGCGTCATGAAGCTTTTTGCTAGATAGGCGCATGTAGTTGAAGTTTCTACGGAAGCAAATTGACTTGGTAGATACTCTCCGTTGGATGCTAGGTGGTTTGAACCGAACAGCTTTCGATGTTGCCAATGCTGATGTCGCTTGCGCGCTGCTTTTTCCGTTGCCGGTCATGAAGTTGACGTGACCTGAATTAGTCCAGAGTAGAGTGACAGTGATTTCAGTTACAAACGTGTGCTTTCATTGGTAGCAAATTGCAGGCAGCTGGTCACAAATGGAATGCATCATTTCCTTAAACCGAATAGCCGTGCCATTCTTGAGCTTGATGCCAACTTGTACCGGTTAGCTCTTCCTCATCTGTCAATTAACGCTCTCAACGTGAGGACCGCTCTTTCACAACATGCGCCCGCACATCGCCTTGGGGCGAGTGTTTGCATGTGAGAGCCCGGTACAGGTGATAGATGATGTCATTGTGTCCAGGTCCGCCTCTGCGTCGTGCACTGCGCCGCCTGCCGGCGCTCCGTCCGGACAGTCGTTACCCAGGTAATCGCTAGATGGCGGCACCGTCCACATCTTATCTCAAACCTTGGAGAGGCCTGTAATTTTTTTTTGTTTAGAGGGCTCTCATTGGTTGAATTTTCAGTATGTGGACTTATCTGGGTAAAATCGACCCCATGATTTAGCTCGAACCGGTCTTGGTTCCAGAGCTCGTCAAAGCGTTCGTTCAAAATGCTAGATTTATCGGGCGGTGGTATGGAATGCTCTGCCGTTCAAAATGAGGAGGCCTTTTTCGTCCTCGGCGGCGAACCGCCGCATGCTTTTTGGGTCTCGCATGGGAGTTCCTTGAGCAGACGCTGGCAAACACAGTATGAGAACTGTGATGTTACCAAGCATCGGCATTCGGCGTCTGCGTGGATTGCTGCTAAGTGTGTTTGTGTTCTGATAACACCGATAACGTCAGTGTTAACGATGGCCGTTGAGTGTGTGGCTGCCTTAAGTGCGCCGCGAAGGCCCTGTGGGACATGACCTTTGGTTGTCCCATCATGTGCGTCCTATCTGCTGTCATGTCGCAGGGGAGAAAATGGAGTACCAGCCCTCCATTTGTGGAGCACTGCTATGGGTCCCCACTTGCAGGACCCAATGACGTGTATCACTTGTCATATTTGCTTAGGTACCAGAGCTCTGAATGATAGCAAACCAGTAGACCTATGACGAGTTTTGGTATGAGTGTGTCTCAAACTCTCAAAACCACGTGTGGATCCTGAGCCCCGTCAATCTGTGGTTAATGGCGCTGAAGCCAGCGCAAGTCTGGGCGTGGTTGCGCCAGGCTCTTAGGAGATGCCCACTCCCAGCGCCAGGCGGACGGCCCGGCTCGGCTCAGCCCAAAGGGGCTCAACTCTTCGTGTCTGTATTGATAGAGCACCGGTCCGACGGCTTTTAATTGTAGTTTGGTGACGAGCGGCAGGTGCCGCTGACTGGCCCTCGTGCCTGACCTGCCACCCTGGCGATACGTGACTTATCTCTGGGCCCGTATCCGGACGGACCTGACCTGACCTGGCGATACGGGACTTATCTCTGGGCCCGTATCCGGACGGACCTGACCTGACCTGGCGATACGTGACTTATCTCTGGGCCCGTATCCGGACGGACCTGACCTGACCTGGCGATACGTGACTTATCTCTGGGCCCGTATCCGGACGGACCTGGCCTGACCTGGCGGTACGGGACTTATCTCTGGGCCCGTATCCGGACGGACCTGACCTGCCCTGGCAATACGTGACTTATCCTCTGGGCCCGTAATCCGGACGGACCTGGCCTGACCTGGCGGTACGTGACTTATCCCTGGGCTCGTACCCGGACGGACCTGAACCCTCCTGCGATACGTGACTTATCCCTGGGCTCGCACCCGGACGGACCTGACTTGACTTGGACGGCCGAGTGTTCTGGGTAGCACCGCTGGAAAACAGGACGGCTTGTGTTTCTAGTGGGGACTGGTACGTCCTCTGATGCCCCGGGGGTATTGCCCATCTGCCCACCCCTTGTGCGTCCTCCTTTGACGTTTGGTTCCGGGCATTTTCGCCTTAATCCGTACTTTAGAGCGGAGCATGAAGCACCCCCAGCCGGCTTGACAAAAACTGGGTTGAGCCTTTTGTGAAGATGGCCAACACGAGCAGGTTGTGTGAGAGCACGTTTGATTTGATGCGCCGAAAGCGCGGGCGGGTGCGACGCCTTCTCACGGCAAACCTGTGCGGCATCGACACGAGACGCGATGGCCGCGTGATGTAGGTATCACAGCGACATGTCGAATTGGCAGGGTTTGGAAAATGCTGGTCATCACTTTCAAGAGTATTCAGTTTGTATGATGCGTGTGTGATGATCCATACTGGCATTGACCGCTCTATCCGCCGCCGAAGTTCTGCAAGTTGCAGTGACATTCCAACACCCACGGATCATGTGCGCCGCGTTGTTTCCTGCCAGTGAAAGGAGAATCGCAGCTTACGTCTGGTGGGCCAACTTCGGACATTGTGATCACGATTGTGATCACGTTGTGTCACTGATCGCGATTCCGTGTCCGACGGCAGGAGTGCCGCCTCGTCAAACCCTGCCGGATTAGTCAGGCCGTTGCGGCGTGGACATGAAAACGGTTCGAAAACTGACGCCCGCGCTTTTGGGTCTCGGTGTCAAGCCCAGCTCGTACCCTTTCACTGTTCACCACGGAGGCGGTGCCGTACCGCAGAGCAACCACCCACCCAGCCTATCGCATCACCCGGCAGCAAACCAGGTCTCGCACAACAAGCAGCAGAACGGCCCCGGGTGACGGGCATTGGTATCGTTAGACCAGCGAACGCCACCAGTTGCGATATCACTGGCTCGTCATCGGGTTGATACAAGCGACAGACTGCGCGTCGCCGGGGCTGCTCGGTCTACGGCCGCGTGACGTCACCGTCCGGCGTGCATCCGGGCGCGCGCCGCTTGCAGGCCGCTGGCGGCTGGCGCCCGCCGGCTGCCAGCGGCCTGCTACGCAAACAACGCCGGTCATAACCGCTAACGGGTGGCGATAACACGCGCCGTGTGTGTCAGGAGCAGATAGCGGCGCTTCTAAGAAGAGTCGTCAGCCCGGTTCGAGATCCGGAAGCTGCGAACTGACACACGACCCCCCTACTCCGATGCTTGAACTCACCGAAGAATGGAGTGGAGGTTCGCGGGCGCTTTTCGTATCCTTCGGTGACGTGGCCTTGACCTTAACGTCGTCGGTCGTTTAGGCTGAGCGGAGACGGGGTTACGGTCCAAGTCGTCCCATGCCAGCGATTCGCAAGCGCATCCGCCAAGGGTGCGCCATGACAGGGCGACGTCACGATCAGCGAACTGACGGACTGACAGCATTTTTGGGCCCAGTTAGTTTCAGTTGGGAACCGCGCCAGTTCTGTCGGCGATTGTAGCGTCGAGGCGCGATAAGTCAGAAATTGGACACAGCTATGTGCGGGTGCCAATACCACCGCTGACGCGTGTCAGATCTGTCAGACCTCGAGCAGAACTCAGCGAGGGGTTACGGGAGGTCGGGGAGGAGCTCAGCGCGTTGACAAACTGATCTTCGTCTTTGTGTTATGCATCGTGCACCTTCACGAACTTTGTGTGCTCCCTCCAGTTAATTACACTCGCCAATATGTCACGTTCCCTGCTGCCAGCTCGCTCAACCGCATGGTTTATGTTCTGTTTCGGTCTGCCGTGCCTGACCGCTCCCGTCCGCCCGCGCGCACTCCGTCTCTGTCAGCCTCCGGACGCCGGACAACCAGCCGCGCTCACTCGATCACCGTTTCAGGCGGGTTCGAACGCCTGTACGCCTGCGTCGGCGAGAACGAATCGGAGCTGTCCTTCGAGCCCAACCAGATCATCACAAACGGTGAGCGCCGGACGGGGCGGAGGGCCGCGCGCGCTGGCTCCCGGCTGGCGCCGATCGGCCGTTCCACAACGGCGAGTGAACTGGCCCACCGGTCCCCGCGTCGTCGCCTGCGCGACGTGTTGTGGCCGGCGATGGGCTTGTGCTGCCTTCTAGCGGTGCCGTTTCGGCTTCACTGTGCGTTGCGGTGGGGATGCGGAACTCTACGCAAATCGTTTGTCAGCTGAAGCGCGATGTGCTGCGTGCTGCATGTTGGCTGAAGACAAGCCTCGCTATCGCGTTGAATGCAGGCCGAAGAGACCCGGATTGGCGAGAAGTTCGTTTGTCGCTCTTTAGTGACCCAACACTGGCCCGTTCCTATCGTCTAGAACGACGTTCAGTTTCGTTCGTCGCGTGTCGACTGCGCTGTAACTGCAGACGCAGCATCCTTGACGTGACCTCTGCCACGTGACAGCTGACCCCGGCTGTGCCCCCAGTTCGGCCATCGCGGGAGCCTGGCTGGCTGGAGGGCACACTGAACGGCCATCCAGGGCTCGTGCCCGGAAACTACGTCGAGTACCTGCCGTGAGCCGCCCGCTGCGCGACATCACTGCGAACCGGCCCGTGACGTCACGGGCGCGAGCGTGGGCGTTAGCGGGAGCGGCGCCCGCTGTTGTGATCCGATTTGTTGCTTGTTAAGCGCCGCGAGCGTATTTTATGTTGCGTGTGCCGCGTTGCTAGCGGCCGGCGCCTCGCGCACGAGGCGCTATCCATTCCAGTCTGATAACGACCGCCGCCGAAGCCGGGGGTCGCGACCTGACCTGACCTGGCCTGACCGGACTTGGTCAGGCTGCGTCCTGCGGTGAGCCGTCGCATTCCACTCAGTATTGGGCGCTGGGCGTTCGCAGCAGCTGCGGCCGCGGTGTTTTACAATGGGACGCCGCTACATGGTGCGTGTTTGTATCCAGATAACGTATATTCATTTATACATATACCATTACCGGTGTATATACTGTACAAATGGGGCGTGATGCCAGCGCCTTGTGCCTTTTGTGAACACCGAATAAACGAATGCTATGATGAAGGTGACGCCTCGGAGGGGAAGCGGCGGAAGGTCGACTTGCGGTTCTGACGAATCATGCCGGATATGCGGCGTGGCGGCCCACCGGACCCACGGGCCGAGCGGGGCGGGGCGTGGGCGGGGCGGCCGATACCGGCGCGGAGCAGTGCCAGCTCCGCTCGACATTCGAGAGCCGGCTTTTGGCGCGGGTGGCTGGCTCGGGAGCAGGACCTGAGGCACCAGGTGCCCCTGTCCGAGCCGTGAACACCAACACCATCGTCGGGCGGTGAGTTGGTCGTGAACTCTCGCGCCACACGGTGGGGCCGGAGCCGGGGTCTGTCGCTGCATTTCGGCAGTCTTCGAGACATGCCTCACCCAGCGGAATGTCGAAACAGCCCTTACAATCGGGAACCATTGCGTTGTTAATCTTCCATGAGTCAAACCCCGGCACTTTGCGCCGAAGTTCGTCCCTATGGCTCAGTTGGTTAGAGTGCCTGCCTTCCGGCCCACCCACTCGTGGAAGGGTGAGGTCAAGTCGCCTCAAGCGCTCGCGGTGTGGTCTTGACAGGCATGCCTGTGGCAGGTGGCAGCAGCCGCGCTAAAGGTCAGGTGACGTGAGGGGACAGGGCTGACCGTGCTGAACATTGCAGCGTGGGAACCTTTCGCTACGCAATTTTTTCGTTGACCTTGAGTAGCGCGATTGGATGGTAGAGGTCAGGGCTCACGAAGCAAGCACTGCTTAGCGTAAGCTCTGGTCTCAGAAATCCATTTATTCAAAAGGTCCGAATTGAGTCTTAAAAATAGGGCATTTAACACAAGACTACGCATAGCACATACACACAAAAATAAGTCACGATGCCTTTATTGGGATATATTCAATTATGTACTTCTTTGTCGGATTCATCTTTCCAGGCCTGGGCCAGCTCCCGTAGACATGCGCGTGTATCTAACGCGCGCAGCCCCGTCTGTCGTGGCCGTTAGCCACTTTGGGGCGAGCGTACAGAAGAAGAGCACGATTTTAACAGCATCAATCGGCTGAATCAGCTGGCTTAGGATTCGGCCTTGAGTTTGTCATAAAGCGGCGGGAGTGGGCGGTGGGCGTCTGTGGATGGAGCTTTCACTTGTGCTGGCGAAAGTAGCAAGGAGAGTAACTTTTGCCCCGCAGTTGGGGCGAATCAAACAGCCAAGCCATGTAAGCCCTTAAGTTATATTCTTGAAGCCCAGTTTGGACATTTTTTACAATGGTGACGTGTATGGCGCAAGACTCTTCCCAGTCTTCTGGCCAAGCCAGGTACGTTTTACATTGGCTTTGCCCGCATTCACTTGCTTAGGTTTAGTCTACAGGCCTTACAGCCTGTCATCTATAAACTTACAGGGTTGTGAAGACTTAACCATGCGGTTACGACTATTTTGCCTGTAATTTCGCTATCATTTGCGTCCATACCTGATAAGAGTAGGAATATTCAACTAATAACAGCTGTTTTGTATGAATGTTGATAACATTTTTGCACCTTATCTAGCAGTAGAGAGGCCACCTCAGGTACTGAAAGTTAATGTTTTGGTGTAAACTTCTCAAGCAACGTCCCTCTGCATTGCTACAAAACATGTAGTAAGATATTTTCTTGAACTTTAGTGCACTGTGACACAACCCTGACAGCAGCAGCATGAATAATGATAATTACTGTTATCATAATAAGAAAAGTAAGTGCTGATGTTGGATGTCTTACCTTGTGCTTGATAAGGAAAACAATTGAAATCATTTGTATTGTATTTCAATTATTTTTTCATTCACTGCTTGAAATCCATTTGCCACTGTAATTTAAAACATTATTCCGGCTGTTTGTCCAGGCCAAACTCAAACAAAATGTGACAGCATGCTGCACAGTTTATTCTGTTGAGAGGGCTTGTGTTCCATGTTCTTCCAAGGTTACTCAGGCAGGAGTGTTCATGCCCATGATGGGTGGTAGCTCACACTGGAGATGTATCAGGCAAAATGCATGACCTCTTCTGGCCAGGATGAAGCACCTGGTCAGTGATGATATTGACAGCACGTGGCATCCTGTGGATGTGTGGGTGGATGACGTGAGCATTTACTGTGTGCATAGTTGCATGAATTGTTCTGCAGTTGCAGTGTCCCTCTCAATACATGGGTGTTAATATGACCTCCCTAGTGCCTGGGACTTCATGTAATGGTGCATGATAACCTTCATCTTGTTTTCCTAAAATGTGTCATGTTAAAAGTATGTCAGTGCCTGCCTAACTTGTGTATTTCTTATTCATTTTGATAAGATCACTGTGCATGAGGGCAGTATCAAAAAACACTTTGAGTGCCCAATGGGCACTCTCAGACCTAAGTGTGGGCACAGCAGGTGCATTACCCGAACATGTCCTTAACCTTTCCTTGTGAAATATCACCTGAATGAAGGGGCTATTTCAAGCAGACGAGACTTCACTGCAGGCACTGCTTGACATTCTCAGGGCAGGATGATGACCACTTCCCAGCTGCTGCTATCTCCTGGGCAAGGGCTGGTCAAAGAAAGTCTGCCAACGTCAGGCTTTGCCCAGGGACCCCCCAAACTACACTGGCATGTGCATTAACCAAGCACTCCACTGAGATTGTACATGACACCTTGTAAGTGGCATTTCATACATTACATCCTTGGGCCTCCTACTGGTGCAAAAAGTGTCATGTTAAGCTGCACATCTGGAAAACCTGGGGTAGGGTTTGATTCCTGCAGTGTCCACCCTTCCTGCTAGGCTGTGAGGCAAATGCCACCATAAAGCCTCACCAACTGAGGGCAGCATACAGCCCATATTGACGACGACGACCGAGTTGGTATGAGGGCGAGTCGTCATAGCCTCGCTGGGGGCAGCCATTCTGTCCGGCTCTGCTCTCTGCCCACCCCGCACCCCAGGGCGGCGGAGCCTGCCTCGGGCATGACGTCAGATCTCACAGGCCGGCCGAAGCGTGACGTCAGATCTCGTGGGCCGGCCGGCGTGCCCGGTGCGGCCGTGCCTGGGCGCGGCCATGGCCGTGCCCCGCGCCACTGCCAACCGCGTGACGACCGGCTCTGTGCGACTGACCTCCCCTCCCCCCCCCCCCCGGGGGTCATCGCTGAAGGTCAAGTGTGCGCCGTGCGCGCTATCGCCGCTGACGTCTGCAGTCTGTGTGCACTTCCGCACGGCCGCACGGCACGCGGCGCCTCCCGGCTGCCCCGCTCTGGCCGTGTGCCGGTGGGCCCGCTGCGGTCCGCTCCGGCCGTGTGCCGGTGGGCTCGCTGCGGTCCGCTCCGGCCGTGTGCCGGCCGCCCCAGGCCCGGCAGCCGCGCAGGCTGAAATGGCTATCCCGATATGCAGTGTTCCAATATTCGGCCACTTGCGTAGCAAGGATTCCACCGCGTATTCTTGTGCGCGATTCCACGCGTATATTCCACGCGCATTTTGTCATGCTATTACACCCCAGGCTTGGGGTTCACTACTTGTTGCCCCTTCCCTTGTTCAAATCGGCCAATCAGCGTCGAATCGGGCGGCAGTCAGTCCAGCATCTAAGCACCTCAGACTTCCACAAATGAGCCGGGCAGGTCAGATGTCTTGGTTCGGGGTCAGAGGACACGGATATAACGCCAGCGAATTGCGTGCAGAGGTCACCGGAGAACAAAGATTCTGGTGACACAAAGTTGTTTTTATCTCTGGAAACCCTGCTGGATAAGCTTTGAAACACTGTCGAATGCAGCTAGCATTAAGATGGGTGGACCTCCTCTTAAAGGATACGGAGCACCGTGGCGCGGGCCCGGTTCCCGCCAGGGTATGCCACCGGTGATAGCATGAGGGGTTACACGCGTTGTCAAACAAGCGAGGAATTATCACTTTTGTCATACGGGAAAAATGGATGGACTCGCCTCCGTTCCGTGAGGTCGACTGTCTGCGCAACTCGATGGTGTTGCCGGACACCCTGAGGTCGGTGGCCGGCTCAGCTGGTGTGCCGGACACCCTGAGGTCGGCCTGCTCAGCTGGTGTGCCGGACACCCTGAGGGTCGGTGGCCGGCTCAGCTGGTGTGCCGGACACCCTGAGGTCGGCCTGCTCAGCTGGTGTGCCGGACACCCTGAGGTCGGTGGCCGGCTCAGCTGGTGTGCCGGACACCCTGAGGTCGGCCTGCTCAGCTGGTGGTGTGCCGGACACCCTGAGGTCGGCCTGCTCAGCTGGTGTGCCGGACACCCTGAGGTCGGTGGTCGGCCTCAGCTGGTGTGCCGGACACCCTGAGGTCGGCCTGCTCAGCTGGTGGTGTGCCGGACACCCTGAGGTCGGCCTGCTCAGCTGGTGTGCCGGACACCCTGAGGTCGGTGGCCGGCTCAGCTGGTGTGCCGGACACCCTGAGGTCGGGTGGCCGGCTCATCTGGTAGTGTGCCGGACACCCTGAGGTCGGGTGGCCGGCTCATCTGGTGGTGTGCCGGGACACCCTGAGGTCGGCCTGCTCAGCTGGTGTGCCGGACACCCTGAGGTCGGTGGTCGGCTCAGCTGGTGTGCCGGACACCCTGAGGTCGGTGGTCGGCTCAGCTGGTGGTGTGCCGGACACGGCACTCGGATCTTGCCGGCTTGTCGAGGACGGCCGTATATGGGGGGGGGGGGGGGAGGGGGAAGGGAGAAGAAGGGCCTGACGGCGGGAGGGTGAGGGGGCGTGGCAGTATTTTTAATATGCGGAAAACACCATGCCGCACCATAAGGGCGGTGGGTTTGCGCGGCGAGCCATTCGGAGCAATGCCACTGATGCCAAAACAACGTCTACTAGTGATTGCTGGAACGTGGGAAAGAGAAAGGCGTCACTTATTCTTATCTGTCTTGGTTTGATCTGCCAGGACAGGATTTTACTTGTGGTGCCTTCCAAGCTGAAGCGACAATATTTTTTTTTCCAGAAACTTCTTTTGCACTGTTTTCTTCCATGGATTGGCTATGTTCTGTTTTCCACGATTGATGCAAGTGATCGTTACATAGGACATGCGAGCGTATCCTGTTACATGCTCTTCCTTACCGTTGCCGTGTTGTTTTTTAGGTTTATATTTTATACTTATATGTTGTTGCGCTGAATGGCGTTGTTTTCCATTATTTTCTTCATTGTACTGTTGGCGTGTCGTACGAGATTGGGCATTGTGCAAGTCGGGAAACCTGCATAGCCATGTCTTTCAACAGCGACGTCGAGGGGTGTGATCCTTTCCAAATGTCGTGTTTTTCATCGCTTGTCATTTGTCCTCGATGTCTTGGTTTTATTTTTAGAATGTCAGAACTGCCTGTCCATTCCTGCTTCTTGCCTTTGACCTTGGTGACTCGATTGTGTGCGTTTTGAGTGTTAATCTTACGCGTGTGAGTGCGCGTCCGTATCTGCGCTCGTGGCGGTTTCAAAGCACCCGCACTTTCCTCCCCCCCCCCCCCCCCCCGCTTGCCAACCGCAGCCGGCAGCTCAGACGGGCCAATACATTGTGTGGTGATCGAACCCCCGCGTGCCCGCGCACGTGCGCGGTCGATAACGCGCATGTCTGGCTGCGCGGGCGGTCGATAACAGCTGGCTTGCCCCGGTGTGTGGCGCTGTCTGGCGCCCGTCGGTGACGCCCCCCCCCCCCCCCCCCCCGCCAACGAGCGGGTCGAGATCGCCGACCGTCCGGCCGGCCGGCCTGGCGGGCTGGGCCAGTCCGGCCGCCGCGGCGCGGCGCATGCCGGCCCGCGAGGGCCGCGTCAGGCCAGGCCCAGGGCAACATTGTCTATCGCAAACAAACGTCCACAACTGTGCCCGTGATGTCACCTCAGGTGACCCGGAGGTCACCGGCCGGCTTGCCGCCAGTCTGTCCGCCAGACTCGTATCGCCGACGCTTCGTCACTCGGGACTTACCGCCGCCAGCTGTGTGCGCACGGTTCGGGGCGCCGCTGCACCTGTCGATGCTCAGGTGGCCGTCTCTGAGTTGTGTTGTTCGCTCGCGTGGGCCAGTGGGCTTCAGGCGGCGCCGTCGGCGGTGTCGCACGGCCCCGGTCTGCCTCCGGCCGCCGGCACCGGCAGTGCAGCAGCAGCAGCCCGTGCGTTTTCGGCGGGCCGGCACCGTACTAGAATAGGTGCTATGGTTGCCGTGGTGAGGGTGGATGCTGTGGGATATTGTGGGTGGACGCTGTAGAGTGTTGAGGATGGATACTGTGGGGAATTCTGGTGAAAATATTGGTGGGGTATTGTGGGTGTATTGTGGGTGGTATTGTGGGTATTGTGGGTCCTGTAGGTACTGTGAACCGCCGGCCGTTTGAAGGCGTTGAAAGTCTTGATATGCATGGTTGTTAATATGTGCTGACGTCCTGGTATTATTCATCGGTTGGTCGATACCAGCCCACCCAGAACTGTTGTAATCAAACCATCGTCAATGACAAATGTGCCCACAAGGTGACCTCCAATGTTTCAGCCCGCTGCCGGTTGCTTATATGATACCGTTTGTTTCTCTGTTTTAGCTGCAGAATGGGGCTTTGGCGGCACCTGTACGTGCTTCCCCTCTGCGTTTTTATCGGATTCGTTGTTACGTTCTTCACGACGTAAGTGCATTTTATGGTTGGCCACTTTGACCCGTCTCGACATGATTATATTTTACTTACTTTAATTTCGAACTACGATGTTCTCCGTTCTGTTCCATCGTGCCAAGCATCAGTTTTCTCGTTTTCCCCTGCACTGCGTATATTTCCGGCACTGTCGCCTCGCATTCCGAGTGTACCTGCCGCCACCGCACCTCGTTTCGGCTGGGGTCAGCTGGCGTGACCCTGAACCCGCCGACCTCTGACCTGTACCGCGCCGGCCTCGGCCGTGTGACAGGTACGCCATAGCCGTGCAGCTGGACCACGTGAAGCCCAACTTCCCGTACATCAGCGACGGCGGCACCTGCGCCCCCGAGTCCTGCATCTTTCGGCCCAGCTGCTCAACATCACCGCCCGTGCTCCCGTAAGACCGCCCGTCGCCCTCTCCCCATTGTCCTCTGTCGGGCCCGGCCTGCTGCACTTGCAGGGCTGCTGCGCTTCGTTCCACAGTACTTTGCGCCGCCGCACAGCGGCCTTTAGAACCCTGAACCCTGTGCACTGTGGCCGATAACGTACCTGCTTACCATGCCGGATGTTTACTGTTTCAATTTGCCTTACGTGCTGTTGACTCCTCACTGTCTCGCATGCTGTTGACTTTCCTCCACTGTCCGTTTGTGCTGTGCCCCGCCCCCCCCCCCCCCCCCCCCCCCCCCCCCCGCCCCCGCCTCATGACGTGTCCTATTGATTCATCTGTCACGTATGTTTCCCATGCCGCCACAACTACCCCAACGGTCGTGGGACTGATATAGCCGTCGTTTGTGATGAAGCAGACACGCTCCAGTAATTTATCACCCGCGCAATTCATCACCGGTCTTTGTTTCTCCATCAGTGTTCCCAGCGTTAATCATTGCTGCTGCCCCAGCTATTGCCGCTCAATTTCTGAAGCTCGCACGCCTGATTGTCCAGCGGTTGACAAGCGTCGAAACAGACGTCACATTCCACATTCCGTGGCGAGCGGGGCGCGCGCGATCCGGCCCCATGCTGCCGCGGCGAGTGGTGACGACAGCGCCGCCGCCTCGACCGCGTGAGTCTCGCTACCCCCGACGTTGGCCGTGTTGCAGTTGGCCTGACTGTGTACATCCGGTACAGCCTGGTGGAAGACTACTACAGCGTGGGCCACGCGCGCGCCCGCTGGGAGCGCTGGCTCAACAAGGGCGGCTTCTTCTGCGGCATGTGCGGCGCGCTCGCATCAGCATCGTCGGCAACTTTCAGGAGACCAACGTGCTGGCATGCACCTGTTCGGCGCCATGCTCGCCTTCTTCCTTGGCGTCTCTACTGCTGGATTCAGGTACTGTGGGGATGACGGCCGCGTGCGTCGTTATGACGCCCGTCTCCTGCGCTGGGACGTCACCTCGGTAACGCCCCACCGCGTTGGCTACGGCTGTGGTGACCCACAACCGACCGGCTGGCTTCGGTCTGCTTCGCTGTAGACCAGCTGGGGCCGCGCGTTACCGAAGTGTGACGGCGTGTTGGCACCTGCCAGAGCTGACCGGTGATCAAGCGCACGCCGGAGACCACCGAGTCGGTGTACAGATGCTCGGGTCCACGAGCCCGGTCACCAAATGGCGCGCCCAGCTGGCCGTCCAGCCGGCCGGGCCCGGCGCCCTGAGCGGCCGCGACCGGCCGACCGTCCCACTGAGGGTAGCCTCCGCCCGCCGCCAGGTGCCGATCACGTACAAACGCGCCGGACATGACGCGTCCGTGGCTGACCGGCGTCCGCCTGTTCATCGCCGCCACCTGCACCGGCCTCTTCGTCAGCGGCTGGGCGTGCGCCGCCGCCACGCCCACAGAGTTTCAGCAAACGACTGCAGGACTCGATCAAGGCCTGCAACGCCTCAGGTCAGCGGGGGATGTGGGAGGGGGAGGTCAGGGCCTGTGGGTTGTCAGGTCAGTGAGGCGGGGTCAGGACCTGTTGACTCCAGGACAGTGGGGGGTCAGGACTTGTTACTCCTGAAGTCAGCGGAGAGCGCGGTCGGGATCTGTGACTCGTCAGGGCGGCAGTGGGAGCGTTTGGCCCAAGTGTGTAACGGGGTCGGATTGTGCAAGGAATGCTTCGAGGAAGCATAAACTCATCGAGTAAGATCGGATATGACCCGGGCAAAGCGTTGGTCTGTGACATATCAGGGTGTTAGGGTTGGCGGGGTCCGTAGAGCATGCGACGACACACCTCTGACTAGTTCTACAAACCGTTAACAGTTCGCTAAGCAGACTAGCGGAGCTGGTCCGTGTCAGTATCATCGGTAGAACTAAATTACCTGCCCTGGTATGTGAGGCATCACCCGGTCCCGTTCACCTACCTCGTGCCAGCGGAACGTGAGTCGAATGCGATCTGTGCGGAAGGGTGTAGCTGGGTCAGATCCCGAACAGCGGGCCGTGTGTGCCGCTGCTGACTCCGTCTGGCGCGTCCTCCAGAGATCCCGGACAGCGAGTGGGGCCTGCCCCTGCACGGCTGGGAGTACCCACATCTGCAGCACCTCCTCGAGTGGTGTCTTGCGCTGCTATTCGCCCTCTACCTGCTCACGTTCGTCTACGAGTTCCGGCTGGTGGCCGTGGAGAAGCCCAAGGTGAGCGTCCGCGCGCGGCTCGGCGGCGGCGTTGTCGACCGCGATGTGTGCGCAGCTGGGGCCGCACTTACGGCGCACGCGCCCGCTGTTGGTGGGAGAACGATAGGTGTACGCTGGATGTCTCGGTGGTAGTCCTTTGTGTTTGACGCATTCAGGTCAAAATATGACACGTAAGTGCAAGGATAGAGGAATGCGTGCAACTACGGATGGATGTTGATCAGGGTGAAGCCTGCCGTCTCCATGCTTCTTGCATATATATATATATGCATATCAAATCTGACTGGCTTGTTTTCACGTGATGTACAAAGGACCCGCCGCAATGAGATAAGTACGCCTGCATAGTTACGTAGAAAGGACTGCGTTGGTGGTGGTTGTATGACGAAGAAGTTGCACAACCATAATTCGGGACCAGCTTCGCGGAGACGTGTTAACTAAAGCTCGAAGCAAATTGTTTTGCGCTTCAAGCCACCTTCCGCGGAGTGGATGAACCGTTAGTTGACGTGCCAGCCGCCAGGGCAGGTTCCAAAGCCAGACCAGGTTGAGTGACGGCGCTGCCGTCCCAATTCTAGGTGCACTGTGGCTTGCCCAAGCCGTGCGACACTGACGAGCCCGTTGCGGGCCTAGCGCCCGGGCACCAGGTGAAGGTTTGTGGCGTGCGTGTGGTGTCCGCCATGCCGGGCCGGCCCGCGCCCGCGTCCGGCCCCGCTCGTGCTGTCCTCGGCCGGCCGCTCGGTCAGCTTGCGACCCCCGCTTGGCTCGTGCAGCCCGCAGCCGTCCTGTGTCCGCGCCACAGATTGCGCCTCGGCCCACGCATGCCGCAAGTCCAGGCGCAGACGCGCTGCGTGGCTTGCTCCCGGGCGCGTCGCTAGGCCGGGCGTGGCTTGTTCAGTGTCTTTGGGAGTGTTTCGCCAATGCTTGTCTGCGTCGCCTAATAGCCGATCTCGCTGTCTGGTTGCTTTACTTCCTCCTGTGGGTGTAGTTGTTGCGCACTCGACACTTAGCCGAATGGAAGGTCGCGACACCTCGGGTCGTGTGGCCTGGCGTGCTCGTTGACCAAGCAACATGGTCCGTCATTGCCGTTGGAATTGCTGAAGGGGAGCTTTGCGAGAATGCCCATATGTAGCCACGTTGGACGTGCAGTGTGTTGTGTGTTTCGTATGCGCCCAGGAATGTGCACGTTTGCTGTGCCCAATGTCCAATGATGTGGACGTTTGTAATGTTCAATGCCTGACCATCAGCTGACACCTAGAAGTGCATGAGGCCTTTCCAATGTGAAATTTATGTTACAGGTTGAGTAAAACATTTGATTTGTGGGGACTTTGTGTGCTTGGTTGGCAAGATGCGGGTACCCCATCGCTGTCAAGCGTGTGTTCCACCTCTGTCAAGCGCGTGCCCCACCGCTGTCAAGCGTGTGCCCCACCGCTTGTCAAGCGCGTGAGCTCCACCGCTTGTCAAGCGCTGTGCTCCACCGTTGTCAAGCGCTGTGCTCCACCGCTGTCAAGCGTGTGCTCCACCGTTTCAAGCGTGTGCTCACCGCTGTCAGCTGTGCCCCGCGGTCAAGCGTGTGCTCCACGCGTTGTCAAGCGCGTGCCCCACCGCTGTCAAGCCGTGGCTCCACCGCTGTCAAGCGCGTGCCCCACCGCTGTGAGCCAGGCGTAGCCGGCTGGGCCTTCCACCATCAGTCCCGGGTGTCGCCCTTTCGTACCCTGGCGTCGCAATGCATGTTTGTGTCATCGCTCCATCCGCCGGCTTCGTACTCACTTTAGTGGCATTTGTGGCACTGATCAGCTCCGGCGATAGGTCGCGCCCGGCCAGGCCCCTCATTCCGTCAACGTCAGTGTGAGTTGAGCCCCACGTGTGGATAGCAGCGCTGCGTCGCCGTCAGCGAGCACCTCTAGCCATCTGCGGGAGGTTTCGGCAGCCTCGCCACGTGTCTGCCATGAGGACGACACGACCGTCCGGTGCCGTCACTGACAGCCGTCGTCGCCGTCCCCAGCTGCTGCGCGTGGCCAGCGTGCTGCACCGGCGTCGCTGGGTGGCTGTCGATTGTCTGGAACCGCCGCCGCCGCTGCTGGCCGGCCGGCCACCAGCTGGCGCCCACCGCCGCCGACCGGTCGCCGCCGCCGCCGCAGACCAGGCTCGACGCTTGCCGACACCAACGGCGAGACGCGCCGTTCGTCGCCCGCGCCACCGCCGCCGCCGTCGTCACGTGACACAGGCCCCGGCGGGAGGGAGTGGTGGTGCGGGGACTGGGCGCGCGGAAGAGGGCTCGCCCCTGGTGCGACTCGGGCGGCGGGCTTAGGCTGTCTTCAGATGCGGAGGAGGCCTCTCTGAGGTGCTGGATTGGTGCTATGGCGACGCTTGAGAGAATGTATGTGGCTTTGTTTTTTCCGCATGTGTTACGCTACTAGTCTTCTCAGTAGTCGAATGTTGGTACGGCTATTTAATAGCCGTACACTGTGTGTCGATGCTCAGTATCTTTAAAAGTAGATCGCTAGTGCAAGCTTGCAGGGGGCGATGCCGCAGTGCCAAACGAAGGTGTTTGAGGTTGAATGGTTTATTTTAGGTGTCATCTGTGACACGCTTTTAGTCATGCCGCCTGTTTCTTTATGCTGTCCGTTTTGGCAGCGTGTCGTGGTTGGCCTGGGGAACCCCACCTTTATGCGGTGCGTTCAGAGGCTTCCGGAAGTGCCATATTCCGACCGCCGTGAAGACGTATACTACCGACTCGTTACACAGTGTTGTCCCGCTGTGGCTTGTT